AATATTAATAAAAGCTTATAAGTAAGTTTCAAGGTAATATTTGAAAAAAAAAATAATAATAATAAAAATTATTATTTCTTTTATATTACATAGTATTAATAGAGATTTTTTTTATTATTATAAATCAATATAATCCTAATATTTATAAGATTTATGTACAAAAAATAAATTCTACTTTTTTTTATAAAATATATGGAGTATAACGTTTGATATTTGATATATTGTTATATTCCGATTATTCAATATATCATACAAAAATTATTAATTATTATTTTTTCCTTAAATTATATAATTATCTTTAAATTCAATATTTCGGTATAAAACAACATTTACCGATACCTTCGGCATACCAAATAATCACTGCGGTAATGTATATATTTGTTCTACCAAATTATTTGGTAATTACTAATTCATACCAAATTATTACTGACAACACAAATACTAATTGATTTCAGTACATAATATATTGTTATACAACACGCTATAATTATAAAACAACATCACATGTCATTATTATACACAATATGTGTTGTATTTAATAAGATTGTGTGTTGTTTGTATATATTACGGGTGCTAATTTAAAAAATCAACACACTGCTAATTTTTTCAATTCAACACTCTAACCGTTTCCCTATGCTAAATACCAACAAGATTACACAAAATTTGCAGACTTGAAGGCATCCTCGCCTGCACTAGGCTCAACTAATGCTGCAAAATATTTTACTTTAAATTAAAGGGTCTGTTTCTCCCGCCCAAAACTGGGCTGGAGGGGATTCCGAAGACAAACTCTGTGAGTATGTCCTTTTCTTTATTTTTTTTTAAAAGAAAAATTATAAATAGAAAAAAAATTATAATAATTATAATTTAATAAAATATATAAAATATATATATCACTTTGTAGAGAATAAAATTTTTTATAATACAAATAAATAAAAAATTTAAAAATATATAAATATAATATAAATTTATAATTAAATTATACAAATTACTATACATTTATATTATTATATTCATACCATCAAATCAATATACATCAAAACTACTCAAATTCCAACAAAATTCAAACCCAAAAAAAACCTCAAAATTCAAACTCATGTCAAAATTTAAATGAAAACCAAACCCAAACCTAAATTTCTCCAAATCCTCTAAAGAAACACACCCAAAGTCATTACGCATAATTTTTATATTTTAAAGCGGCCATTTAAATAAAAACTATCTATTTATATTCCATTGTATTGTCTATGATCTAATTAGGGGACTTTACAGTTTTGTTATTAATAAATCCTTTTTAAAAGTTATGTTTTTTGGATCATTAAATTAAATAATGCATGTAATCTGAACTATGTATGTAAAATTTATTGCCTAAACAATAAATAAAATAAATAAAAATTGTTAACACGTTTCCATGTAGAAATAATGGGTTTATTTCTTCTGTGAAATGATTTAAAAAGATGTTTTTTTTATATAAGATATAGAGAATTGTATAGGTGATATAAAAATAATAAATATATATAATATATTAATTTTTTAAAACATATATATATTTTTTTTGTCCTAATGTTATTATAGTCTAGATTGAGTCTTGAATTTTAGGGCCTCGGGGCTCATAGGCTGGGCCCAATTGGAACAAAATTAATTAATTAATTCAAAGTTTGTATTTTATCGAATTAATTTATTTTTATAGTTGAAATTCAAATTGTTCGGATAGATGAAAGTTACTGCAACATAATGCAATGTGTGTTAAATAGTGGTTGCTACTTTTGTGGCACTTTAATTTAATATTATGCTCCTTTACTCTCTGTTTTCTTTCTTTTCAATTTCCTCCAAAAATTTCCAAAATTTTCTTGGTTCGGTTCGTGGTGGGATCGTGAATCCTTAATTGATTCGTTTTATCCTGGAAAACAACCGGTGACGGACCGAATTTACTTTAAGAAGATCGCGTGCAATGCGAAACTCGAATATGTTCTTAATTAGATATGTTATTTTATTTCGATTTTCGTATTTCGATTTTCAATATTATTTTTGGCTAACACATATATATAACATTTTATTTATTATATAAATATTACATTCAGGGGCGGAACCAGACAGTCACGAGACAGGGGGCTAATTCTTCAAATTTAGAAAAGAACATAACTTATAATTACCAAATAATTTGGTATGAATTAGTAATTACCAAATAATTTGGTAGAACAAATAATTACCAAATTTGTATTTTATAATACTAATATGAATTATTTTCAGTAATTATAGCACCACCTTTTTTAATTTTTGTCTGTTTACTCTACTTAACACTTTTCTATCTTTATAAAATTAATAATATTAAGCGTACTTAATAAATATAAATCAATTTAATTAAATTTCTAACATTTTATATCAACTCACACAAAAGACTCTTTAGAATTAACTCAAAATCTCTTTATTTATTTCTATCTCCTCAATACATAAATATTTTAATTTAAATTTTAAAAACTCTCTACTTTTTTTTTTAAAAAATAGTTTATATTAATTATAAATAAATACAAATATTTTTTATTTAATTTAATTATATAAAATTTTATTTCATACAAAATTATATCTATATTATATATATATTGTTATGAAAAATATACGAACGGGTCTAAGATTTTATTAACGAAATCGAGTAAAAATATTGAACTAATTTTGATTTTTGTAGGCTCAGTCCAAACCAACACGAAAACACAAAATCGACACAAACACACCACAAAGCGACGAACACAAACAAAACTGACCCGAAACCCACAAAATATAAAGGAAAATAAAGCAGACGACTAAGCACAGTGGTCGTAAAGACGTAAACAGAGAACCCCTTGCAGCTCGAAACAAAACATTGAAACGAAAAATACCACGTATTCTCTATAAAAATATGAGAAAATAGCTTGTCGAAAGTTGCCGGAGGTTAGTATCGTAAAGAGTAAGAGGTAGAGAGAGAGTGAAGGTTGATAGTGAGAGACGGCGCCCTCTCTCTCCTTTATATATATATATATATATATATACGTAGATTAGAAATGAATGGACGGCTAATCTCACATAAAGGGACGGGTCAACTGATCTCGGATAGGAGCAGAACACGGGCCAAGGTAAGTGGGTCGGATATTATGGGTCAGAGCATGATTTAATTTGGGCTGTTTTTTTGTGTGACGTGCCTTATTTTGGGGTGAATTCATGGACTAAAAATCCAACGTATATTTTTATTGACATATAGTATTTTAAATTTAACTACATCTTCTAAATTTTTTTAATTATATATATTAATTTTTATTTTAAAAATATGAGCATCAACACTCATATAAACTCACTAAACTCCACTCTCTATTAAAATTATTATCCTTGTAATTGTCCTACAAACATATATAATTTTTTATGATACGGTAGCAAATCACGTATGACAAACAAAATTTAATTACAAAAGAAAGTTAGCTTCACACCGAGGAGTTCATCCTACACTGTCAAATCATCATTTAACTATACTACATGCACTACATATATCAAATAAAAAAACAATACTCCAAATATCCGGCCAAATTATACAATCTTGTTTGATTGCAAAGCTAAGAAATAATGAGTTTAATATAAAAATAAGATAGATAAATAATAAATAAATAAAATAAGACTATAGTGAGAATTTTATCAAATAGTTGATAAAAACTAATAAATAAACTTAACAAAATTATAAATAAATATTTTTTAATTATAAATAAATAATACTTTCTAATTCAAAATATATTTTATACTATTTTCCTTCGTCCTACTCAAAGTATCTTTTTTTTTAAAAAAAAATAATAATTATTATATACTAATACTAAAATATCTTTAATTTTTATCTAAATTACAAATATACTATTACACATATAATTATTTTATACAAAAAAATCAAAGGATAAAAATGTCAAAATCTATTACGCCCTTTCATATAAATTTAGTTGTTAATTAAAAAGTAACTTAATTTTAACAAATAAAAAAAGGATAAATTGTTTTTTTAATCATGTAACTGGACCCCCTTATCAGTTTAGTCTCATAAATAAAGCTTGTCGCAAATTAGTCCTATAAGTGAAATTTTTTTACTATTTTAGTTCTCCGGCGCCGGAGACGCCCGCGTGGATCACCGGAGGCCACGTGTCCGCCAAGTCAGCGACACCTGACGGATACGTGAATTTTATTTTCATTTTCATTTTTTTTAGTTTTTTTTAAAATTTATTTTTAATTTTATTTGCCTTTTTAAAATTTTTTTATTTGGTCAAATTTAAAAAATAAAAAATAAATAAAATCCACGTGTCCGCCAGGTATCGCTGACCTGGCGGGACACCTGACAGACATGTGACTTCCGGCGAGCCACGCGAACGTCTCCGGCGCCGGAGAACTAAAACAACGAAAATTTTTTTATTTATAAGACTAGTTTGCGATATGTTCCACTTACGAGACTAAAATAATTAGAGTGTCCAATTAGAGACTAAAAAAACAGTTTACCCAATAAAAAAAATACTATATTATTGACACCTGTACGTAACAGGGGTTGGATCTATTTCTTTCATTTAATACTATGAGCCAACCTACTTATAGATTTTTTTTTTTAAATTTAACTAGGTGTCTAATTTGCCACTATGGCATTACAAAAATAAAACAACATGCATGCATATAATTAATATGAACGACACTTATTGTGTCCTAATAAATCAAGATATATATATTTTTTTTATCGGTATTATATTAAATTTAAAATTTCTATAAAATAAATATTTATGTGTTATTGAATTATTATTTTAAAGTACATTATTTTAAAGTAGACAACAATTTCCTTGTTTGCATTGCTGGCCCATGCCCAGGGCCTAAAAATTTTGATGAGCCCATTTTTTAGAAAGAAAATAAATATATTTTAATTTTTGTTTTTTTATATCTAAATTTGATCTTTTTAATTAAATATATTGTAATATGGTATTTTATGGAAAAAAAAAATAAAAAAAATCAAAGCCTATCAAAACTCAAGGAACTGCCCTGCTTGTAGTAAATCAACATGAAACTCATTGATTCCAACAAACACAGCTTCTAGGGATTTATTTTTTGCATAACATCCCTAACGAGGTCGTAGAGTAGAAATACATATAATAATACTACAAGCAACGTATTATAGTAAGTTTATACAGGTCAGGACAGCTTACTTATTCTTACAGAGTTGTCGATCCGAGCCGAGCCGAGCCGAGCCAGCCTCATGCTATTATAGGTTCATATTCTTCTTCTTCTCTGCCTCTGCTACGAACCATAAAGATTATCACTATGACAACCAACCCGATACCGAGCAGAGCAACAGACCAACCGATCTTCGAGGCGAAAACAGTCTGCAATTTTAAAACAATAGTATCGATTATGTAAAGAAACTAAAAAACAGCATCATGTAATGTTCTTACCTGAGCAGGTTGATGAAGGAGGACAGCCTGTTTTGGCGACGAATCAGCAGCGGCGATCAAGAGGTAAAAGAGCGCCATAACTCCAGTGTGCGTTTGCGCACTGCTGTAATTAGCTACAAGCGTGAGAGTCTCCCCAGCGGCGATCTTGACAGATCCCGGTGAAGGATAGCATGAAGACATTCCAACAATGTAGCCCGCCTCGTCTCCGGGTTCATGTCCTGTCCCGTAGATAGGATACGACGAGCATATCTGTCTTCCTCCCTGGATTAGTTCGTCAAACATTAGCTCCATGAAATGCAAGTTTTATATTTGAATTGTGATTTTAAGCTACATGTTGAAGATAAACCTTACAGATTGGAGTGTAAAATATTTCCGTATTGCAAAATCGGTTCAAATGTAATGTCGAAATTTCGGAAGGAAATTGTGGAGAAATTGTTGCTATATATATTCATACCTCCCCGAAAAGAGCTGAACCAGTGCCTCCTGAATGCAGATGTGCGACCCCATAGATTACATCGCCGCCGCTTGGAAAATCTACGGTGAGGGTTTTGGTATGGATGCAATCGTTGTTACTGACTATGCCAACAGGACAAGCCTCAACATCATACTCAACCTACAGTACGATTCGAATGAAGAAACAAGAAGATAAGATAGCAAGAGCACATACATATAAAATATCTACTACTTTATATAACTTAGGCTAAATTGCACAAAATCCACTTGGGTTTCTCGAAATTGCGCCAAAACGCCCGTGCTTTTAAACTGCATCAAACTTTATCGTGGTTTCAAAATTTTTGCGTCTAACCCCCTCAGCGGTCCTTACTTAAGGATATTTAACCTAAATGCGCCCAAAATGCGAATAAATTTTAGAATCTCAATTTCTAAATCCCTAAAATTACAAATTATTTTTCTTATATTTAGCCTAAAAAAACAGTAAAAATAAACTTTTAAAACCTGAGAAAAATAACCATTTTTTAGTATATTTACTATTTTTGAGGTTAAATATAAGAAAAATAAATATATTTGTAATTTTAGGAGTTTAGAAATTTAGATGGTAAAATTTAGTCGCAGTTTGGGCGCATTTAAGTCAAATACCGTTAAATAAGGACTATCGAAGGAGTTAGACGCAAAGTTTATGAAACCACAAGAAAGTTTGACACAGTTTTAGAAGTGCAAACCACCTGTGGATTTGTGCAATTTAGCCTATAACTTATATAGGTTTCTTTATGATCCTCAAATTAATCAGTGACATTCTTTCTAGTGTTACCCTAGAAACCATGACAGCTATATCATCAAAGCCATTAATACGTCGTACGATTCTCTTAAAAGCTAATTCACATCAAACCAGACATTCGAGATAAAGGTATAAATATATTTACCAGGCAATGGTGTCTTGCTTTGATCCCTCTGGACTCGTCTCCCTTGATCCATTCATCGGTTACATCAAGTATATAGATTTGAACAGGAACAATCGAGGGCTCCCAATCAAGGTACTTCACTGTGTACTTCAAGTAAAGGCTTCTCTTAATGTTCTGAAAGCTTTCCTTCACCCTGCATCTCGTTTGATCATAACAACATCTCAAGCCACCACCGTAGCTTGAGGGCAGAGCATGGCCAGATTCATCAATGGTGACATTGTATAAATCACATCTGCACTCGGTGCAAGCCAGCTTGTCTTCAGCACCACGAGTGTCGATGGCATGCACATTAAGCAGCCATTTCTCCACAAAACCATCGGGGATATCTGCAGGATTCCCAACCTCAATGCCATAAGGATCTGGTACATCGTTACGTGTCTTTCGAGTCTCTGATCCCAGTCCAAAAAACTGTGTAAGTGCATTATCACACAGCCCGCTATTTTTTCCTCGGATGTAATTGGCTTGGTAGAATCCAAGATCCTCGTGACTCTTTGGAATATCCAAACCTTTCCGTAGATAATATCTTACGACAACCCAGTGGTGAAGATAAGTTTCGTGAAGAGGAATTGGATTCCCTTTGTCATCAATTACTTCAGCATCAAAACTCTTGATAGCAATATGACCTCTAGGGAAATCCATGTCGTAATAAAATTTGTTTGAGACCAATCCTGGTTCCAACTCAATTTTTGGTGATAGAAACACCTTGGTTTTAATTCCATTACCACTTTCTGCACTAACTTGGGAACTTTGCACTATAAACAACGAGCAGAGAATCAAGAGTTGATGCAAGAGGAACTCTAAACGACGGCTCATTCTTATTCCCAAATAGCGATGATCACTATCTGCTCAAATCTTAACCAAAAACCAAAATAATAAATAAATAAAAATAGTCATGTTCGAGTTGCACAATGCTCATCAACAATAAACAATGTTCTTGGATGGAGTTTTCAGCGATGCAAACAATGCTTGGATTATATGAAAACAGCACATCATGTGCTTTGAATATTCCTAATAGTTGGCAGAGGAGGCATCGTTGATCGTTCTATATATCCAATTTCCAACATTTTTTCTCTACTAGATACAAATTTATTCTTCATCTTTTATTCTTTTAAGTAACTGTTTCACATTTCGTAAAATGAAAATCCAACTTGAGACAATATCACGAACAACAGCATGAACCCCCCAAATCAGACCATACTTGGAAGATGATAACGCAATAAAAGCAATCGAACATCGAGAAAAGAATAATAAATTTACCAATAACGAAGCTTCAGAAACAAATTCAATCACTGGATCCAAAAATAGAGACACCGACGTAAGAACAAACATAACCATTGGATCTTAAAAATAGAAGCACACCGCGGTAAGTACAATCATAATAGATACAGCGAAACACATAATAGGTGCAAAAGAATTTCAGAATTCGATCGTCCAAAAACTAAAAACACACAAAAACCACCCGTCGGACAAAATCCTTTTGTATTATTCGAAAATTGGAAAAACCTCTTTTCGCAGGAACACTCAAGCACAAAGATAAATCAAATGATTGAACAAATATTGAATAGTGATAAAAGAATATCCTTACCGATACGATACGGAAACAGAACGTGTATATGGTGTGACTCAATGAGAGAAAAAGTGGAGGACTCGCAAAAGTTTGGAGTGACCAGTGAAGCCCAAAGCCTGCTCATACGCCAGAAGCCAGTCTATTAGCTTTTATAACGACGAAGGGGGTTGTCGGTCCCCCGCCATCAATGTGCAATCCTGAAGCTACAGTTTGAAAAAAAAAAAACCTGATACGTGTTATCCTCTCTTTCTCTTTGTCAAAATATTATTTTCTCCGTCGTCCTAATTTAAGAGTTTTAATATAGTATAATTAATGAATAATTAAAAAATATATATTAATAAAAATAATTATAATTTAATAAAAAAAAATTAGATTAAAATTAAGACGAATTTAATTTAAATAAAAAAATATATAAATTATAAAATGTCATTAACGTGTATAATTGTATTTTTTTTAAAAAATGACAAATTATAAATGTGTTTGGCAAGTAGCTCATACCGGTTAGCTGATTTAATTAAAACACTAGCTAGCGCTGTTTGTATTAAAGTGTTTGGTAAAATAGCAATTTGATATTAATTGTTTATACGTAAAATAACAAATAAGGATATTTTATATTTTATTTTAAAATATTTAGTTGAGTTTTTTCGGTTAATAATTTTTTCAGAATTTTATTATTAATTTTGAAAAATAAAAAAAAATATTAAGATATTTATTTTTACTATTTTTGAAATATTTTGTAAAGAATTAATGCAAATTTATTGAAAAATATATTGTATTTTTTTTATTAGAAATAGTATGAATATAAAAGAATAAAAATAATTAATATATGTATTTTTATAAGATTAATTTTTAATTAATCTATATTTACATTAAATTTATTGTTGAGAATTTACATTTATAATTTTAAATAAATATATTTATTTTTAATAAAAGTATTATGTGATAAAAAATACTATATTAATGAATCAATATATTTATATATTTATATTATTTTTATTCTAAAAAATTTATAAATAAGATAATTGACATATAAAAAAATAATTATCTTAAATTTATAAACATGAATTTATAAGTTGTTAGAAAAAAATATCCAAATAATTAATAAATATTGTAATAAAAAAATATATTAATATATGTGAAATAATTAATTAATTTTAAGAACAAATAAGAAATAAGAAAAATTAAAATAAAAAAGCTAATAACGATATACAAAATAATTTTCTAGATCCAATAAGCTAATTAAAAACAATAATTTACCGAATACCAAAATTAATTGGTTTACCGGTCAAACAAACTCTTCAATAAGCTAAAAGCTCTCGAAAAAATTGTTAACCAAACTTGTAATATATTTATATTTGAATAAAGTTTTTTATAAATGCAGTTTTTTTATAAAAAAAAATAAAAGTTATTTGAATATAATATAATTAAAAGTAATTTAAAATTATCAAAATTAAAAAATATATATTGTTAATATAATTTTTTTTTTCTACTAAACTATTTTATTTAATTTTAAATTTTTATAAATTATTTAAAATTTTAAATTACTCTTTAGTATATTTTTTAAGTTGGCATCTTACCTTTTTTAAATTGTAATTTTAATTATAATATATAAATTAAAATTAAAAGTAGTATTTTTTTAACTTTTCTAGTTACACGCTTGTGCCCTCTATACAGTATAATTGTATATAAAGTCAATCTAACTTTTTTTTTTTTTTTTAAATTAAAAAGACCTAATTGATTGATCAACATTCGATTAATTAATTTTGGTACAATACATTTCTAACTCATCAATAAATCAATTTTTAATAATACAAACTTAATTTATATAAATCAAATTCTTAATCATTGATTTTTTTTTTTTTTTTACTAATTAATAATAATCTTCCAAATAAATAAAAAATATATATCGGGTTAATAACATTGACATTTTGTTATTTAATATATTATTTGTTTGCACAATTTGATATATTTTGGTCTTGAAACGTATCTTTAAATTAATAAATATTTTATTTGAATTAACTTTCGCTTTATACTTTTGTAATTTATTTTAAAGCATCTTTGAAGTAAACCACACAGGTTGTTTTTTAGGAAATAATAGTGGAGTGTTAATTTTAAATCTTTACAGTTTAATTTTTTTTTGGGTAAATTATTTTTTTTAGTCCCGTAACTAGATCCTTTATCATTTTAGTCCCGTAAGTAGAGCATGTTGTAAACTAGTTTCATAAGTGAAAAATTTTCGCTGTTTTAATCCTCCGGCGCCGGAGATGCCCGCGTGGTTGGCCGGAGGTGACGTGTCCGCCAGGTGTCGCTGACCTGGCGGACACGTGGATTTATTATTTTTTTTTCATTTTTTAATTTTTTTAAAAACTTATTTTTATTTTATTTGTATTTTTTTATTTGGTCCAATTAAAAAAAATTTTAAAAATTTAAAAAAATAAAATAAATAAATAAATCCACGTGTCCGCCAGGTGTCGCTGACTTGACAGGACACCTGGCGGACACGTCACCTCCGGAGAGCCACGCGGGCGTCTCCGGCGCCGGAGGACTAAAACAGCGAAATTTTTTCACTTACAAGATTAGTTTGCGACATGCTCCACTTACGGGACTAAAATGATAAAGGAGTTCAGTTAAAGGACTAAAAAATCAGTTTACAACCAAAACTTTTGATCTCTACGTATTTTGGTTTTATTCCTACTATTATTGTCTTTAAATTATAAATTTTAAATTAATTTTTTTTAACAATTTATACATCTTGATTTAACTATTTTGTTAGCGAGTTTATAAGGTTCTTTGTTGATTTGATATTAGTCAATCATCATTCGCAATGAATCATTACAAAAGGTACTAATTTTATCATGTATAAAATATTTTCTAAAAATTTTTCAAGTTATTTAAATTTTTAGAAGCTTAATTTGTTCGGAGGATTCTCCCCCAAATATATTATTTATTAAAATTTTTTTTTTTTCAAAAATATCAAATCAAACACTTATTTTTTATTTTTTATATTGTACCTAAAAATCAATTTTACATTCAAAACATCACATCAACATCTATTTATATCACATCATACAATTATTCAAATTCAGAATTTTTATTATTCAAATCTCAATTCAGAATTCAAACCTCAAAACAAACACACCCTTTAAGTGAATACACATTCACTTTAGACAACAAATCCTTTGTATTGGAGTTTGTATTTTGAATTGAGATTTGAATAGTAAAAATTTTGAATTTGAATAGTTTTATGATGTGATATAAATAGGCGTTGATGTGATGTTTTGAATGTAAAATTGATTTTTAGTATAATATAAAGAATAAAAAATAGGTGTTTAATTTGATATTTTTGGGACAAAAAAATTGGATAAATAGTGTAAATCTAATCTAATCCCCCGTACAAACACACCATCTCCTTTAAATATTGAAAAGTATCTCATATAAAATATACTGAAGTTGTGAATATACTTTTTAAGGGTGTGATTGTTCTTGGGATTTGTCAAAATTTTTACTATTCATCAATTTTTTTCCGTAGCTTTCAAAATATTAAATCAAATACCTATTTTTTTTATATTATACTAAAAATTAATTTTATATTCAAAATATTATATCAACACATATTTATATCACATCATACAACTATTACAATTCAATTTTTTTACGTTTGTTTGTGGGTTTTAGTTTTTGCGTTTAAATTTTTGAATAATAAAAAGTTGAATAGAGGTTGATGTAATGTTTTGAATGTAAAATAAATTTGTAGTATGATATAAAAAAAAATGTAATTGTTTGATATGATATTTTTTTTTAAAAAAAAAAAATTTAAATAGTAAAAACAAAAAAAAAATTTGAATAATAAAAACTTATCTTAAAATCGCAGAAGAACAAAAGCTTTAGTAATTTTAGATTTCACTTACGCCTTCCAATATTAGTGACTTAAATTGGTATATGACTAGATCTTGTAAAATTTGTCATAGATTAGGTTGTAATTATTTATCATACTTTTCTTGAGGAATAGGTTTGTCAAATGAGTAATGATGACATGGATGATGTAGTCATTTTAATTTTAAAAATAATAAATTGTAACGAAAGCACTACTAGAATATATAATTATTTTTTGAAAAAATTGTTTATTTTAAAATAATTGTCTAATTTCAATAGATATTTATATTATTATAAAATTATTTTTATTTTTAGTAATATAATAATATTATTTTTTAAATCGCATGCTCAATACAAATAGAATTATAATTCTAGGATTTGGGGAGTATTTATTTTTGTATCTTGTCTACGTTTTGAAGTGTGTTTTTTGTTGTAATTTATTCCTTTGTTTCTAAAACAACATGTGCTCATATTTTGGGTATGAGTTTTTTACTTTTATAGTAAAAAAGAGCTATGAAAAAATTATACTCCTTCCGTCCTGTTGGAAGAGTGGCATTTATTTTTTGTATGTAGATTTTTGAATATTAGTATTATATTAGATTGTAGTAAAAAAGACAAAAATACCTCTATGTAACATAAAAGTAATGACATTTTTGTGTAATATATTGTAAATTGAAAGGGTATTTATAATATTATGTATGTAGTACAATTACTAAATTAGAAAATAGTAACTTTATTTTAGGACAGACGAAAATGAAAAATAGTAATCCTTCAATGGAACGGAGGAAATATATTTTTTCTACTAAATAAAAATATATATATTTTTAACAAAAAAAAAAAGATTATGTTTTTAAGAGACAAGAGAAGTAATATTTTGAAGTGAAATAGCATGTTATTTTTTAAAGAAAAAATATATTAAATAGTAAAATAAAATAATTATATTCTTTTTAAGATTAATTTAAGTTTTTTGGCATGAAACTATCACAATTTATCATTTCATTCCAATTTAATATATTATTTTTATTATTTTTTTATATTTATTCAAAATTATTTATTTTTTATTATAATAAAAATAATTTATATATAAATATCAAAATACTCTTAATTTTAACAAAAATATTTATTTATTTTGTATATTTTAAATCAAAATAATACTCCCTCTGTTCAGCAATGATTTTTTTTTTGTTCTCCCATAAAAATGACATATTTATATTTTTAGTAATTTCTTTTTTAATTTTAAATGTACTTAATAAATATAAAAAGTTCTAACTTTTTATCCATAGGTCCACTCAAAACACTATATTTTTTCAATAAACAAATAATTTTATC